TCCCTGTCAGGTCCCGTTCGCGCTTCCATGTGATTTTCCAGAACGGGGTCACCTTTGTTCCCCCGGGAGTTTATGAGTTTTGGTAACGGCCCGGTGCATAAATCGGCCCTGCATGGAGTGTGCAGAAGGTAGGGTGACCGGCTGTACTCGTACGTACAGTACAGTACCGGTAGTGGGACGGCGGTATCAGTTAGGGATTAGGGGGGGTCTCAGAGCTTGGACTATGGTCAGGATCATGATACTAGGTTGTAGTATTTTTTTTTTTTTCTTTCTTTCTTTCTTTAGTCTCAAGGCTAATGGAACATGTTCCACTTCGGCTCAGGCCGTGAAACGTAGACTTGTGATGGAGCCGTACGGTACTAGGATTTAGGATATTGGCATGAGTTAAGTTTATTCTGCTGTTCTTGGTGCGACGCGATGTGACGAAACACGATGTGATATGCTTTCTCCTCAGGACGATGTGGAGTGGATTTGCGGGTGATCGCCGGTGAACTTGGCATATCGGGTACATCATACCATACCGGTTATTGGCGATTCTCACATGGGAACCTCGATCACGGCACATTTTGTTACGATATCGCTAAGCATCCCGGCGGTGCAGGGGTTATGGAGGAGAGATACGAGTAGTGATGAGGTGCATTACTGAAATTTCAGTAGCATCGGTAACCGGTACGGTGCTGTGCAGTACACGGAGGGGGAGATCTCTATCAGACTTACTTCCCTTTGCCTCTGCAAACATTAACTTGAAGGAGGAGGATCGCTGGGTGGGGCATCCGGCACCCAATCCAATCCAATCCAATCCATCTACTGTATCAAAAACAACTTGGCCCTCTTCCGGTCTCTCTTACCGAACGATGGAACCTTAATTTTTTTTTTCTTTTTACTTTTCGGACAAATCGGTCGCGGTGCACGATGCCAGCCACCACCGTAATCTCGGCCGTAGCCAACCTAAACAAACATACCCAAGTAAATTTCGTAGCACCCCTCTCACTGCGCACGATCCAAAACCCCATCGAGACTCAGAAAAAGGTTATTCACGGATGCTACCCTCCAGTTCTTTTGTCGTCTCCACTCCACTTGCTAAATTATGCAAGGCTCACAATCAATCAATCAATACCAACCCCAAATAATATGTTCACGTGAGTACTGTACTAAACATTTCCGAATGAGGCACCAATCCTACGGTCTAGTAAATTTACGGTGCAGTGCCTCCAACCACGTCATCGCCTCGACAAACCCCCACCTCCCCTGGGATCCCTGACTTCACCCCTCAATTCACTCCCATCTTCCCTGAATTGACTATCTTTCCCGACTTTTTTTTCTTCATATCGTACCATGCCGATTTACACGCGCACCGGGGCAGTCACGGCGTAGACTAAATTATCTATCCACCGTCATACCACCGCACCTCAGCGAAGCGGGGCGCTGCATGATTTGCAGGGCACCGCTACTGCCGTAAGGTACCCCGCCGCGGCTTGTACGATTATTCCGCCCCAGAATGTAGACCTTAGACAAACCACGTCAACAGGCTCGTCGCAAGTGCACATGCCAGCGATGCCACACATCCCCCCTCCTGGCATGCCATGCTTTTTGGGGCTAGTACCGGTAGATGGTGCCCGCTGCAAAAAGAAAAGAAATATTGCTGAGATCCGGATCACTACAAATCACTCGAGGAGATCTGGGGCTGTATTGAAATCACCTGCTCGGATCCTCCCGGGCTCTTTTTATTGTCCCGTGATTCGAATATATCAGCCCCGAGGTGTGGTGCCGGTAGTCCCTGATGTGGGTTGGATTGCCGGCCGGGCGAGTGGAAGGCCGATGGTGAAGTACCGGTATCGGCATAGTGCGAGCGCCGTGCTCGAGAAGTGCACTGAGCGCGTTTAAAGTCTCTGGAGACGTGGGTCACGTGTTAGTAGACTCAACTTATGGCGCTGCCATACGTGGACTGGATCCCCGCGAGGTCTTATGCCTGTGAAGCCATCCATTATTGTCGAGTAACCGGGGGACAGTTCGTACCGCGACAAGCCGTGCCTGTCGGGATGCTGCGCGAGGAATAGATTTTGGGCGGATTCTATTCATTAGGCGTACCCCGGTTGCAGATGTAGACTGTACGGTACTAGTACTGCACTGAGCACACCTGGGGAATTGGGGCTCTAAGTTGGGTGGTACGGTACGTCCAGCAGCACGGCTGGTAACACGGTGCGTGCCGTGGATTGTGGTGGCGGTCCGAGTATCGGCGACGGCGCCTTTACTCGAGTGTGGAGTGAGGGGCTGACCGAACTTTAGGTTGGAGATGCTGGGATGTTGCTCCTATCGCGACTGACGTGTAAATGGTGACACAACATTTGTCTTCTAGAAGAGGCTGCTTTCCTTCAATACCTCCTCTCTTTACTTTTTTCTTTTTCCTTTCTCCGTTTCTCTCCCTTTTCTCCTCCTCTTCTTCCTTCTCTTATCGGGCGGGATTGTGTGAGTCAAGGCTGATACACACTTCTGATTTTCCGGTTACGGGAAAGTCCCGGGAGTCGCGATAACTTACTCTGTTGCGTTGGCCAATAATATCCCCACTCTTCTTGTAGCACTTTGGAGTGCACCAGACTATCATACTCGAGTGCAAGTGCAGTGCCTGTGGATATCTGATATGTGCGAGCGCAGCGCAAGACAGGGATTGCTTTGCTGGTACAAGTAAACCGTCCTTGTTGCACGAACACATCTCCCCGGGTATGATACTTGTGCTCGGGTAACCAGAGGCAATGTACGAGTACACAGGTACAGCAGATCTCACAGATACCAAATCTCGGTATTAATGAATTCCCAGAACCGGACGACATCTTAGCAGGAATATGTCGCATACCGGTATCCTAAGTTGGTCTATTATTGATGATTTTTTTGCCTTGTCCCTCTGCTTCATGCACAGTTTCCGAGTTTTGGCGTGGTATCACAGACTTTTGCTGGCAGCTGGTGAGGATCGTGGGTGTTACTATACTGACCTTTTGGCGCCGGTGCATATGCCGAAAAAGATGATATCGTATGGTAAGGTAAAAAAAAAGTGATGGCAAGTGATCCGCTCCACATATGCCGACCCTATTCTCCCCCAAGTCCACATGAAACAGCCCAAGTTAGTAAACAAGATGGAATGGAATAGGTTACCTGTGTTCCCAGCTCTTTCAATCCTGAAAACTCCTCATAGATTGACGGATGCCGCCGGCTTATCCATTCGTGCGCAGCCAGAACAGGGCATTCCGATTCTGAGGATTTTAAAATTTCACTCCTTCATCCCTGTTGGGCAGCTTGGAACGAGCTGTCCGCATCCGTCTTCGGAACCCAGAAGTGCCGCTGCCTACCTACTCGAGTAGCTATTACTCTACGGTAGTCTTCTACGATACAGTACTAGTCTAGCACCGGTCTCGTACAAGTATCAAGGGCAAGGCTCCCGGACGGCCTCTTGCAGGGGTTGGAAGCGTCATCTGCAGTCTATCCTTTATTTCCCGTCATCTTCAGCCAGCCTTGCTCGATGAGCATCTGAGGCTCTAACTTTTTTTTTCTTTTTTTGGCGGGGGAGGGCGTGCAATTGCACCAATTTTTTTTTGTTTGTTGTCAAGCCCAAGACCTTCAATTTAGATCCTCTCGAGGGATACGATTCCCGTAGCAGTAATGGGCTGTACCACTAGCCCCATCGCGATGGTCTAGTCCAGTCCACCCACCACGGCACCTCGCAGAATCTTGTTAATCAATTTTCCCAATTTTCCCAATTTTCCCATTGCTCATTTTTTCACTTTGTTCAACATGCCGGGAATAGAGAGATACATGCCCTAAATTCATATGCTCGAGTAGGGTACTCAGTGGTAGTCTACGGGCGCAGGTGCAGCACTTGAGTACCGGTATATCGCACCACAATACTATACGACAGGCGCAGAAGGGTCCGCAAAAATAAGAGGTCCGCCAGATGACTTTGTTCTCGCTTGAGCCGCAGGGCCGCAGTATGGTGATTGGGAGAGGGGCTAAAACACACCATCTGGATGTTGGTTGGGTTTACGGGTTGTGGAGTGGGGAGGAAGGGTCTGCGATGATCGGATTGATGCTTGTGGAGAGAGAGAGAGGGCGGACCTGCAGCCCGGGGGAAGCTTGTCTCCCCCGCGAGCTGAGTGGAGGCCTCTCCATAAGCTGATCCCGTCATATGGGCGTGTCTTTTGAGTTGGAGGCCACTGGGCCGTTGAGAATGTTGATGGCGAAGGACTGGTGTGTCTGGTGCAGGAAGTTGTGTTATTCTTACTGCAGATCGGTATGTGGATTTCATATTCCTCTGATCGAGCAGACCGCTGGTAGGTTTGATCGCGGGAGGGTTGAGATCGATGGGCATGTTCGAGTGTATCATACTCCTACCGTATCCCGTTGTCCTGACATGACCAGCCGGAACTGAATGGGCCCAATGAAAGGTACATGTTTCCCGTTTTGTTGGTCTATAAGACGGGATTTAATATGGAGCATCATATTTTCCGGAAAATTTAATACCGATAGTACGCCAACAGCAGTGATGCCCTGTTTCGATGCCCTAGAAATTAGATGTGTGCGGAGAAATGGAAGGAAACTGAGAAAAGAAGAAATCGAAACGTCAGCAAACACCTACGTGTTCTCCGGCTGCTGAGAGAGTCAGAGAGGGACGCTCGTGATCCCCGGAAGAATCACGTCTTGCTGCCTACTGGGCTTTTCCATTCGATTAGATTCGTGTTGCGATGTTCCTCTTTGGGTTATGTTCGCTGCCCATAGTACTAGTAATATCAAGTGCGGATGGGGCATCCTCGGTGGCCCAGATATTTCGTCACACCTGCCTTGGTGATGGGGTTCTTGGCAAGGGACGTCGGTAGAGTCTTGGGGCTCCGCATTGGGGCTGTAGTGACTTATTCCTCTCTTTTCAGGGCTGGGGATATGGATTCGTGAGAAAAAGGGTGGGTCATCGGTTGTGGCTGGGAAGCGTGCGGAGTTGAGGTTCTCTCCCTTCCAAGTCCGGTCTGGGACGGTGTCTGGCTTCGGGATCATAGCTTGATAATTCTTTTTCTCCCAATTTCAGGTGTCGTCATTCCCACTGGGAACCCTGCCTGGGCTGCGAAATTGCATCACTGCAACAGCTCCCCTCACCTCCTCTCCACTGGCTGGGAGGTCTGGTGTTTGTCAGGATACAGGTAGCAGGGGAAACACCCTGCAGCCGTCAACTATCAGGGAAATACGCCCTCTCTGTCATCATGGAATCCTAATGCGGAGGTGGGTATATAAATGCCCTGTCCCAGGACTTGGGCTCGATTTTCCATAGTGATCACGGTCGCATCATTCTGCAATCAACTATCAACTTCCCCCCAAGAGCATCATACTTCGTTTCTTCCTTTCTTCCTACTGTAACGCCTTTCTATCACCCGATCGAGCCATTCACCTCTAGGCCACCGGGCAAAAAAGCAAAGGAGAGAGGGAGTAACATGTAAGTAGGCAGTTTTTCTTTTCTTGTTATCTCAGGCGCATTGCATCAAGCGTTAGGCATTGTGTGGGCGAAATATCGAAGTCTGAATGGTCCACCATCTCTTATTTATCTGTTGCTAACACACACTTTTTCCACCACAGACCGAAAAACACATTCTCCAAGTTTGCTCTCTTGCCTTTCTCGGACCGCCGCATAACTTTGCTGTTCACCCAACGACCCCGCTTTCCTTCGAGGAGGTTGTTTAAAACCCCCCCCGCCATCCATTACCAAAGAGCCCAGTTTTCCTTCGCCCCACAAACTCGCCGACGGATCTTTTATTCCATCTTTTTCTGGAACTCCAAAAAAGAAGTCTAAACATGGCAAGGTACACTACCGCAGACCCCTACTTGGGAGAGAGGGAACGACAATACCTCTCAGATCGTGATACTCAGATGGCTGTATACTCACCTGATGCTCATTTCAACAGTATCTCTACTATCGCCCCGTACTACGCAAACCCGCATACTTCCTCGGGTGCCCTTGTACGTAGCGGCCTTGTCGAAGAACCCCTTGTCGAGCACGAGCATCATCACGTTCATCACCACATCGATCATGGTAATTGCTTCCTTTTATCTGTTCATGAGGGTTGAGCTATCATGTTAATTTCAACAGGCAATCCGGTTGGCGGCGGCGCGCTTGCTGTCAGACCCCGATATGGACGCGAATACTCCTATGACGACCTTTACGACCGTGACCGCAGATATGGCAGCGGTTTGAGCTTGGGTAGTTTGGGCCACCACCACCACCACGGCGGCCGTTATGGGCATCGTCACCATGGCCTCATGGGGGGCCGGTACGCCCGATCAGACATCGATCTCAACCTGGGTTCGTTCGGGCATCGACGAGGCAGCATCTATGATAGAGAATCCGAACTCGCGATTATTGATGTTCCTGCTGGAACCCGCCGAGTGACTGTCGATATGGGTCGGGACATTGATATCAGCTGGAGACGGGACAACGGTGTTCGAAGATCAAGGGGATTGGGGAGTGAGCTCTGGACTGAGATCACTAGGGACCTTGTCACCAGAGAGGCTATTGAAGACTGTGGATACCCGTATGAGGAAACTGAATTCTTCTACTATATCTTCGAGTACCTGCATCGTGAACAGATCAACGAGTTGGTTGATATTTCTTACGAGATTCGCAGACGTAGGTTTTAATCTATAGAGGCCCCGAGTGATCCACGGTGCTAACTCTCAATAGAACGTGCCAGAGACCTTGAATATGATTCGATTGCAGGTGCAGGCTTAGGCTTAGGCCACTCTCGCCTAGGCGGGCGAATCGACTACGACTACGAAGATACTCGCACCGAGGTCATTATTGACAGTGGCCGTCACGGACACCGTCGCCGCAACCGCTACTACCACTAGACGCCCCCTAGGTGCTCTATTGCGCACGATACTCTATCAACTTAACGACGTTACGACCTAGATTGGCTTTTTCCTTCCGGTGTTTCGTCCGAGGGCTTTTTTTTTCTTTTTCACAAGTGTTTCTTCTACATGTTACCTTTTGAGGCTTTTCAATTGTTTCCTTTTTTTTCTTTTTTTTTTTAACGACTGCGCTTCTTCCTGGACTTGATATCATGCCCAAATGATATATTGTGAAAGCATATCTGGCGGGTTTGGTGTATTTCCTCCTCCCCATCCTTCCTTTTTTTCTTTAGCGACCCTCCTTTTTGTTCCCATAATTCTGTAATGAAACCTGTATCTGATAGTGGACATGGGGTGATGGTGTTGGGATTTGAGAGAAAGAACATCTTTTTATCTCCTGTAACTGGCATGTGTAAAATCTTGGTGGAACTTCTTACACTTTCGTTCGCAATAAACTTTTTGTTTCTGGTGCAAAGGAAGTTATCACTATTCCAGTACAGCACAAGTACGCGTGAGATCAGGCGACAGGGTGGGTTGTGGACTTGTATCATAGTGGCAGGCAGAAGCTTCGTGCTTGCGGCCGTGCTCTTGAGTGGCCGATTGAAACAAATACGGGGCACGGCACTGTATGATACCGGTAGCTACGGTGGTTGGACAGCGGGGTTTATCGTACGGTAAAGCTTCAACGCATCTAGCCCTTTATGGATCATCTTGGCGAGGAGGATAAGCCACTGCAGGCGTGCCTTGGTTGCTCGAATTTCCAGCCGACGTCATGTCGATTGTTCGCCACGGTAGGTTAGTGTGGCCTTGACAACTCAGCGAGGGAGCAGACTGAGATTACTTCAGCAGTACAGTACCCGCTAACTCATGTGCGGGATCAGTACGAGTACGAGTACCGTACCGTACGAAGCGGGGGTGGAAATTCTGGCGAACCTGGCTCACAGAATTTGAATGGGATTAGCAGCCAAGACTTCGCCAGACTTTCCCCTACCCCTTCGTACAGTACGGCACTGGCACTGTGTTGTGTGGACCACCTTTCTTTCTCGAGGACAATCTGTCATCTAGTGCCTTGGTCGTGTATCGGTATACAGTAATAGACTACCGTACTATACGAGTGCAGTGATAAGCAGTCCGCCCGAGCGCCTGTGCTGGCATCGGCAAAGCGAATCCGCATAACGTGTCCCACGGTGAGCCGAAATGCACGGTGATACGAAACAAGTGGCAAATGCACTAGCTGTTGCTTACTAAGGGTACTTTTTACTTAGGCTGTTTCGCGTCACCGTGTGCTTCGACCCGCCGCGGCCTACGTTAACGCGCTTGGAACCTGACTGCCAGATACCTTCCAATTTTTACTCCTTTTCACCTCTCCCGTCAAGAACGGCCCTCGAGCTGGCCTTTCTTTCTTTCCTTTTCTTCACCAAACCGGTAGATAGACGGCTCGCAACCCCTTTCGCAATTCCACTTCGATAGAACGATCCGGCCAATAGCCGCATTCATCGTGATGAACGGTAAAATACACCTTTACCTCATCACCTTCAACTGTGCCCTGGTTCACCATGATGCCGCAACTCTTTCTTCTCATCTCCTCTCTGGACTCGAATCCCCCTCTCCCAAGCCTGACTTGGTAGTTCTCTCACTGCAGGAGATAGCCCCGCTTCCTACTGCCTTCCTGGGCGGGCCGGCTCTGACAGGATATTTCGAAACATTCTCGACGGCTGTGAGATCCGCTACGAGGAAGCAGCTGGGCGAGGACTATGCTCTGGTAGCGAGAAGTAATGTCGGGTTGACGGGAATTATGGTGTTCGCGAGGAGCCCGGCGAGAGTTGGGGAGGTACGGTACGCTGGTGTTGGAGTAGGATTGTGGGAGATGGGGAATAAAGGAGGCGTCGGGGTCAAGATCTATTACAGCGCTATGGGTGGGGACATCGATGGGGATAGTGATGGGGAGACGGTGGAAATTAACTTCTTAGCTGTTCATCTCTCTCCAGGTGAGAAGGATGTCCATCTACGAAACGAAAATTGGGGCTCGATTGTGCGGGGGCTGGTTTTCGGTATTGTAGGAAAGGGGGATGCCGCACCAGGGATCGGATCGGCCTCTACCGAGAGTTTAATATCCCCCCAACCAGACCCAGCAACTTATTCAGGATTGTACTCACCTACGGCTCACCTTTTCGTTCTTGGGGATCTCAACTATCGCACCGCAGACTCTAGACCTGTCGGCCCGGAATTTATTGTGTTCCCACAACCGGATGATCCCCCTTCGTCGAATAAACACTACTCCAACCTCCTTGAACATGATCAGCTCACTCTACAAAGAGAGGCAAATAAAACATTACACGGCTTGGAAGAAGCTCCGATTACCTTCCCGCCCACATATAAATACCATATTTCGAAAACATCATCAGACGACCACAGCTGGAATTGGACCCCGTTTCGGTGGCCGAGTTGGACGGATAGGATACTTTATCTTCCATCAGGGAACCTTCGAGTTCACAGATACACCTCTATCCAGGAAATCAAATCCTCGGATCACCGGCCAGTTGTTGCGCACATATCTATTCCAGCCCAGCCTCTGAATGCTAGTGACGGGTGGAGGGTTCGCCCACCATACCAACCTGATTTCAAGGGATGGAGATCTGCTCGTGACGCGGCTAGGAGGAGAGAAGTCGTTGTAGGGTACCTGGCCTACTTGTTCGGGACGTGGGCAGGCTGGGGCGTTCTTGCAGCGATTATCGCCGGAGGATTCGGCGGTTGGTGGGTACTAAGAGAGTTGATTGTTCGTCGAGTCTAGGGAGTGTAATATTAGTGAGTTGGATGGTGCTTGTTGCTCGCTTGAATTTGGAAGAGTTTTACTAGTGACTGGGGAGAATCGTGGGGGACTCCGTATCTGTCGAGACCTGCAACGATTGATGTTACGTGGACAGTGTATCCTAGACGAAAAATACATTCTTCCGTCAACTATGATACCTGCCTGTAATGAGTTGGAGCGTACCGGTAGTGCAGTACATTTGCACTACAGGTAAGTCATCTGCTGCACCTTATGAGCGCCTAGATATCGGTTTTTCTACGAATCAAGCGATTCCACACATGGCAGACACCTCACCGCAGCCAACATTCTCCCCCCGGCAGATGACACCGAGTAATGCCGAATCGAATCCTAGTCGGACAGCATTCAGGTTCATTCTGCACTTAAGCAACCAGCGGATCACTCAAAAATGTTCTATCGGGGCACTCCCGGTGAAATATTCTTCCCATACTAAAACATTCTGCGGCAGCCTACGTCCCTGTATAATGCCGGGACTGCCTCCAATCGGTACGCAAAAATACCGCAGGCGGGTCAGAATCTTCTAGAATATGAGTGAAGTAAGGGACCTGTGCAAGTTATCTCACTGCTGAGAAAAAGGGATACAAATTTTATTCTACTAGTGCTCACGATTATGCTACGAGCGCTCAGAATGTGTGGGTAGGAGAGGGGAGTCTTTTTCCTTCTTTTTTTTTTTTAGGTAAGAGCGGTGAGAGGCTATTAATACTTGGCCTTGGATTGCATCACCGCCATCACTGGTATATACGAGCATTGATACTTTACGGGGTTATTCAGAGGCTTTGATCCACGGCCTTGTGGTGGGGTTGTAAGTTAGGCTCTTCTCGCCGGTTGCCTAACTTTGTTAGCTAACTTAAGCTTAGGAAGCCTTGCCCGTTTTTTTTCCTTTGGAAGGTGTCGGTGAGATGATATAGGTCGATGTATTACAATAATGACTGCTCTCAGCAGTCGCGCAGTAACTCCCCTCCCTGGAGCAGCGATGAGGAAGGAATTCCACTGGGAGAAAGGGGTGTAACCCGTTTCGAAGACGGGGCCTTTTTCTGAGGCCCTTTGAGTGATCCTAGGGGAATTCTCCGGAGCGATCTGGATTTGGGCTCTCAGAACCGAATGCCCTACCTACAGGAAGTGCTGACTAGATGACGGTGAGCTCTTCACTGTGGATCCCGATCGATAGAGGGTTCGTAGGCTTTCGAGTGAGTCCTCTTGAAGCTTCACTGCCTGTTTCGCGCATAGTAATGAGTACTCACGTCCTCTGAAGCTTTATATGTCCTAAGTTACCTCTTTGGAGGCAAACGTCTATCAGGTTGTGTTTCTTGGAGCTTCTCGAACACAATCTCCACTACCATCGGTGGAATGTTTAGATGTCGGCGAATACGGAATTGTGAGGTTCGAATTTTGGCCGTTTTCCCCCGGAGCCACTTAGAATATTTGTTTGTGTCCGCCAACGGGTACCTCAGGTAACCACAGACACTAGAGCACCTAATACCGCTTATTTGTCTATGTGTCAAAAATTCATACTCCCCCCATGATATTCCCGGAAAAGGCTTACCGAAGGGTTTGAGTTGCACCGGTTATATCCGAGGTCTCCGATCAAGCTAAGATCGTTCTGCATTACCGAGAGATAGCTGCTGCCTTGTCCTAACTCGATTGCAGACGCACCTCTACTCGAGTACTCCACCGGTCTTGGCTCTGCAGAGTAATAAGACCCGGCTTAACTAATGTCTGTGCATCGTATCGGTGTTGGTTTGGGGTGCCCGGGAGTATATCTGGGCCGCTGGTGCTGACCATGTGACTGACGAGGGCCCATCGAAAGCTCATTGCTAAGGAAAGACCTGCCTTCTAATGCTGAGGATTCATTTCACCCTTATTAGTAGTATGCCCCCAACCACTGACCTACACTAAAGCATAAAACCAATTACAGATTACCACAGGATGGGACAGCGACATTATCCGTTGTGGGGCAAATGCCGGTAACTAGGAAGCTTGGAATTGAAAGCAAATGTTTCGGCATCCCATTTAGACCAGGGCTTTGCGAAAACAGAAACCCGGCACTGCGACCTAGATTGATGGCCTTGTGCGGTGCAGCTATGAGTTGTGTTGGCCAATCAGGATCTCCACCCGTGACTCCGCTAGGGGGTGTGGGCTAGGCGCCATGTGTAGACACTTCTTAATATCTTGAAGCAGGGCAGAAATAGAGGTTGTGCACGATACTCCTCTTGTTTTGCTACTCCTATCAAGGTGTTAACCAGTGGCGTAGGGCCGCCATGCGCCATGTTATCGGCGCTCCCCTGATGATGTCTGAGGCTACCACAGTACAAGTACGTCGCACGCATTAAGGATTAATCCAAATAATTGGGATCCATCAGGTTTCGGGGGTGTTGGTTCAACACTCATTATACATCAAGGTTATGCATAAAAAATTTCTAATTTCCCAACTCTATCCTTGTCGAAGAGATGACAGCCCTCTAAAATCTTACTCGCAGTAAAACACGGACAATCCGCTTCCATGGTGCGCTCTATATCCTGTGGATAATGCATGCGGGGCACGTACTAGTATCGCTTGTACTGCTCATTAAAATCGATCAAGCATAACCTCCGCCCTCGGGGGGGAGTTGATAATTTTAAGAGGAGATGCTATTACAACATTCTGGTGGCAACATTCGGTTGCCTGAATACCATCCGGCGGTGATATTAATGCTGGGACAAGGTATCCGAAAGCTAGTAGGTTGAAATAAGAGTTTCCCCTGTGACCTATCCCAAATTTCCAAGAGAACTCCTTCGCTTAGCCCTTTACGGCTAAAACCATGCCTATTTTGCACTCACCCAGACTATCCCGGGTGGTTCACTTCAGCCCCCACTTTATTTCGACGTACTAGCGTTAGGAGAATCTTGCTGGACAATACGGTGCCGAGATATTACACCTAAGCATTGGATGAATCACTACGGGAACCGGAATAGTTGAACCTTCCGCCGAGACACCCGGTCCCCCGGATAAAGCGGGGTATCGCTGTTGGGAAAGTTGGTTCCCGGACCTCCGCAGAGGCAGGGGGCAAATAAAGCGAAAAACACAACAGACCTTGTCAAGAAGGACAACCCCACGTTCATGTGTGAGATTCAATTATTCCAGTTCTTGCGGTAGCGCTGGTTTAACATTTCCAAATCACTAGCTTAACTAATATCTAGATACTCTCCTCCTATATCTTAGTGGCACAAAAAAATGTTGTAAGTATATCATACTAATGGTTGCTTATTCTAGCTAATTTTACTCCGGCGGCCTCCCGGCGAATCCCCCGTTCATCCTAATTTGATCCGTCTGACGGTTTCCAGGACGCACATCATGTCAAGATAGCCTTATGGATAGTATATTGAGTGGCAGGTGGTCATTGCGCGAGTCGCCATTACCTGGCTTCGGAGATCATGGTCCAATGGGAGAGAAGCCCGGTTGACACAGCTACCCACTCTCCGGCACGGCCCTGTGCATACGATACCGGGTGTCCACAACTGACCAAAGCTGAACCACCCGAGGCTCCTATTCTCTCTCTCTTGCCCACCCGCGCCTTGTGGGTTCCCAATCCATATCCTTTACCATATCTGCACAACAAAAGTGCCCAAAGTTTGAGGCGTGGGTGACGGGGGGATTTGTTCCCAGCTACAGAGTGAGAACTGCATGAACTAGTATGTTAATGAGTGACCGCAGTCCCCTGAACTGTGCACACAGCACAGTCTCGGTACTCTTGTTGGTGAACCCGGGACTGGCTGAGAAACGGAGTCGGGAGGCTAGAAATGCTTCTCGGAGGACAATGTCTGGTGAAGACTTTCATGTATGACCCTCTCCTTTCAACTTCTTAAGTCGGTCTCTTCGATCCCTAGTTTGAAGAGCCTTGAGAAACTGGTTGTCTATCGTGACTCGAGCTATGTTCCTTTATACACACGCATTCGAGTAAGCCCTTTTTATAATCCTTCCATACAAGCAATCTCTGCCGGGTATTGAGTATTTCAATGCCATTAGAAACTACCATAATTTTATAAGCCGCCGGAAGGGTGTTTTCGGCCGCTAATTCGCGTTGCTCTTGAACAGCTCCATGCTGAAAACGCCAAGACAACACTAGGCCCGGACCATTTCCACCCGCATGACCGCATCGCTGCCGACAGCCTCGCCAGAGCACAAGCAAATACCACTCAAATGGGCACAAGCTGCAAAACGCTACAGCATATGGTTCGCTGGGTATCCGGGGTGTTTTGTCTCAATCAAGCCTTTTTATGTGTCATTACAAGCAGTATGTGGGGCTTTAGCACGGAAGCACAGTACTAGGAAGGTGAAAGCGAGGTATGATATATGCACCATCAATACAAGACCCTCTAGACAAAAGATGACTTGATCAACTCTGTGGAACTAGGCGCCTTATATGATAGTAGCTCCGTTAGAGGAACTTGCGATATTCACCTCTCGGAACGCTTAGGTATCCCGAAGGGTTTCCTTATAGCTTTGGCAGGGGGGAAGGTTGGGGCTTGAAGGCTGAGGAAACGACCAACTCCTGATGCCCCATAAGCCATTTCCAGTGCTCTTACCACCCAGCCCTACGTCACGTTACATAAACGCTGAATCGGGGCCAACCATTTTTGCCCTGCGATACCCTGCGATACCCTGCAGTATGCTGTGTCGTAGCGCTCGCATTGTGCCGCACCTGTTGGCTGTTCTCTAGGCTTTCCCTAAAATCTAGGCCGTCAAGTGCTCGGGCAGGGTTGGGAAAGGACTTTGCACATCTGGTTAGGGTTTCCGCTCAGCCACTGCCGGAGGAGCTATTGACGCGAGTTCGGTCGAGATGAACCGAGGCATAAACTTGGTAAGAGAGTCCGTAGCTGTCAGATTCTGAAAACCCGTTCCAGGGCTCCTGGTATCAAAGCAGGTCAGCCCGATGTTGTTATATGAAGTCCCCAGACCATAACTGCCTCCTAGATACCGCACTTGTATACTCTTCTTGCAAGCCCGTCGTCGGGCCCGGCCCGGATGAACACCTATCTCTACACTCTTCAAACAAGATGTGGCTCCAGCACTTCAGTGGTCTTCATAAGAAATTACCAGCCGTGTGTGGCGTCCAAAGGCTATCCAAATTCTAGCTTCCAATGATCTTTGCAAGGAGC